GGTCCGATCTTGCTCCACAACGCCCGTCCGCACTTTTCACAAATCACCGTCCGAAAATCTAGAGAATTGAGCGCCGAAGATCTGCCTCATCCACCAAACTTTATAGGCCTCACATCAACCGACTACCATCTTTTCAAGCACTTATGCTGACGGAATGAATCGAGTTGTGTTACGTTGGCAAAAGAAACACACATCTTAGATACTGTTTTGAACTAAAAAGACGATTTATGGCCTGAAATCGTTTTTTTTTTCGTTAACCAGCCATGATACCCGCATATGAGCGACAAATCTTATAAGTTAAAACTTGTGCAAGCTACAGATTCAGGAGGTCTTAGATTTTAAGGTGCACCTCCTAGCACAGTTCCGATGATACGCAGCTTACAGGTCTAGTTCAAGTAAAAGATATAGTGCCCCCTACCTTCCAGCACTTGCCCTTCAATAAAATATTTAGGGAGCTAACTAATTTTGTTATTCAATAATCATTTCTGATTATATAAGAATCACAATAACTATATAACAAAATGTTTTTGNTTTTACGTACAGTTGAGAAAGGAATTTCGGTCAAATCTGATGTTGCTTGTAATAGTTTGTTTCCCTCGAAACCAAACTTGATATGTAGATTCTTATATACATTAAAACATAATATCTGTGTTTCAATATTCAAATGCATCCGAATCTTATTCAGTGGTATCTCTTTTTCGCATTGTTCACTAGCGCTATTGGAATCACTACACAGGAAAAAGTCTGCGTTGTTATCACACTCATTATTACTATTAGTACTTGTCCAAGGACGCCACATTTCAAAAAAATAACAAAAATTTAAGTAATTATAACTTCATCAATATCGAATTTCAACACTCAAATCGCGATCAGTTCCTGAACTGAACATTGACGACACAACGGCGGTACTCATCGCTACATACATCGCTACATTCGCTACATTCTGTTGGTCACCGTTACATGACTTAAAATTTAGTTTTATGACTCTTCAGCTAATCATAAAACTCGGTTAGTAAAATTTATCCAATACGTACCGCCAATTCTTCAGTCCACGTGGACTAATTCATTGCGGCATAATTCCTTTGTATTGTTTTTTTTTGCCTTTGACTTCGCCGATACCTTTAAGATTACTATATCGGTTACTTCGACTATACTCATCGATTGCCAATTCACAATAACGATTGAGTCGTAGAGTAGAAATAACCGTTCACACTAATCAACCGGTTTCCATTTGTCTGGAATATTATTTAACGATACTATTGAAAATGAGTTTTGATTAATTCTTTTGCAAGGTCAATATAATAGAATAAATTAGTATTCTCGAGGCATATATGCGAGAGTGAATGAATCGGATCGAACACTATATGCTTCAATGCCCTCGTTATCTTACATTTTAACTGACCGATCACAGCAACATTGATTCGAAAATTAATCGTTCACGTTCATTGCAAAGATTTTTTCAACCGATAAATTTATTTTCATTTTTCGTGTTTATGACAGTTCATTTTCTTTTCAACCTGAATATTGATTTTATTTCTCTTCCTAATGCTCTACATTTAGTACTTTTTTGAATCATCTCTATATTACGTGCTTTTTTTACACGCTTTATATTAGCTTCACCTGTATGTACGTTTGTTTGTTTGTAACTCTCAAGCTCGGGATCTGTATTTGACAGAATCATCGACATTATTGCTCTCAGAGTAGCAAAAGACAATTCTGAGTTATTACTTGATCTATTTGCAGGTGACGCTGTACGTAACCTCTTTGATATATCGATATTATCACTTTTTTTAGTAACACGCGTGTCTGCTGCCTTTTTGTAACCGTCCTTTGTGCGCTTGCTGCCTTCCTTGGGCTTGGTAGCTGATTTTCAGGCTCCCTCTCTGGAATCGGAAAATATTAATGGTCATTTTTCTAAACAATCTACGGCTGATTGATCCCAAAGTATAGATAAAATAAATATAGGGTAAAAAGAGTAAAAAACACGCTTTTATAGCATACGAA